CAGTCCCATGTGGATCAGAAAATAGCCACAATGTAGTACAACTAAACCCTGATGAAAATAAATATTATCTTCTCACTCCATATCCCACATTAATGCAATCACTCAAAAAATTTTCACCAGAAAGCATTCGCGCTATCGCTCGAAACCCAAATATAGACTTACAATCAATAGGAATCTATTCAAAATCAGATATTCAACATCACATTAGAACACAACAATTCCAAGAATTATTAACACAAATGGACACTATACAAAGACAATCAATAGACCAAAATTTACGCAAACTTGCAGAAACCGCAGGATTTGCCGATATCTACACACAAGACTATAGCGGATATTTTAAAGACATTAAAGATTATATATATCTAAACGGCGAAAAATACCGTCCCCAAGATATATCACCAATTAACATTTTTAGCTTTGTTACACTCAAAAATGAGATCCTCGATTTTCTAGGATGGCCCTACTACATCTTAGAAAAATTGACTATTTTATACGCAATGTTTAACTTTATTGGATTTCTTTTCTCACTTTTAAAAGGAATCTACAACACATGTGCTATACACACACAAGTAAACAGACAAGCAAGCGTAGCACGCATACTCTTTGCAGGATTTTTTGGAATTTTTTCCACATCTATAAACAAAATTCTTTTAGACGCACAAATAAAAGAATATAACACAAAAATAACAACACGACAAAATACATACGACGAAGAACATAACAATGTCGACACACAGCCAACGGCACCACAATTACCACCCCTACCAAATAACCATCCACTATCCCTAGTACCACGAAATTTTCGAAATTTAGCAATCACACATAATCCAAATTTTCGACTCAATACATCGCAAAGTCCCGTCCAACATATAATAACACATCAATCACATGATGATAATACTTATGAACAAATTATCGAACAGCCCCATACCACCGCTTTTCAGTCTCAAAATAATAATTTTTTTAGCCCACGATGAGCCGCCAACTTGGATCACTACACCGATCAAATTCCCATCCAACCAATCTTACCTCTTCAATCCCAATCATACCACTTTTTGCTTTTCCGCCACCCGATTTTCCATCTAGCAATGTAACATCAGACATGAATTCCGACACTAACTCACATATTTCAGTTTTATACTCCATCTCACAGCTAAATAATCCAAACATTGAAACCCCCGATGAATTTGCCGACTCAGAACCATCCCCATCCAATAATTTTCATAACCCTTCTAATTTTTCTCAACCTCCTTTTCAACCCATATTATCAAACAACCCTGACCCAATCACTCCGACACCCTCTTATGCTTCCCAAGTTACCCCAACCTACTCCTCATACCATTCTGACCAATCATCTCATTCTCCAAACACCCCCCGAATCTCCCCAGAACTAGATAATTTTATTACCCTCCAACAACAACCCTACCACCTTAACACCCCGACCATAAACCAAATCTCCTCCACTACAAATTCATCCAATCCCCCTACACCCTCTTCAAATTATACTGAATCATTAACACCATCATCCACATCCACTATATCTTCACTAAACACTAATAGAGCTTACCGCACTTTTAAAAGAAAATTCCCCAACCATCCTTTCCCAGCAAAACCAGGAACAGCCCGTGAATACATCAACCACCCCCAGCATACTAACACTAAAGAATTTTTAGCTATCACTTTACCCTCATTTCCACAATACACCTTAAACACCCCCCACGACACTAACGAAACACGCAACTTTGTAGATGAATACGTTTTAATGCCCACTCTCTCTTGGACCTCATACTATCATTTCACTAACCCTCTTTGCTTACCTTTATCCAACACTTCCATCGACATAGAACGAAACAAAGACATTCTATATCGACTAACTACACCGCTAACCGCTAGACAGTTTACTTACGTTGGATATAAAAAATCACTAAAAATACACACTGCACCTAGAGCTAATGAATATACACTAGAATACTACGATCACAACATCATCAGAGCTAACCAAGATCAATTCTTAGACGACGATCGCTTCGCTAATCCACAAATCACCGAGAAATTTTTCATCAAGACACCATATGTATTTACACTAAACATCTTCGACCGAAAGTTTGATCACATCATTTCAGAAGCACTAACAAACACACAAGCATACGAAAGTTTTAAAGAACGCTTCCAAATCTTTTCACTAACCTTTCACTTCCTTGCACCACACGAAAGAGATTTGCACTGCTCACATGATATTATGTTGCGCACTAAACAAACACATACATACAGTTACTATCGTTTCATCCAAAATCACTTTGACCTCCACACACCCTCTAGACAACCACACCATCGTTTTCAATTCATCAATTCAAAATACACTTCACCGTATTTCCTAAATTTCACATATTGTATTAAAGACACTAACCTTCATGGTATTCTTCGTAATTATGACCCCATAACCCAAATGTACATTTTCTGCCCCATCACCAAGACCTTCAACGCCGAAGAATCCCGACCCTTCCTTATCCCGCACGAGTTCCTACAACCTATAGAAATCCCAATTTTAGAATTCATCCACAACACTAAATTTAACCACAAATTATATAACTTAATCCAAAACACACCTTATGAGTTTGCAGTAGGCACTGAAGAACTAACCACTATTAAGGCACTTCAATTGCTTTGGCCACTGCTTCAGACTAAAAATATCATCCGCATTCTAGCTAAACTACTAACAACTTCAGAACTAATTCACGACATCTTCCCCCACGGTTTTTTCCCCGACGACTAACAGGTAAGTATGAATTAAGTAAATATTACTAATTAATTACAGTATTAAAAACTCACCATTCTTTATTCATGTTTTCTTTAGATTTTTAGCCTTCATCCTAGATCATCTGAAAAATTCACAAAAGAAAAATAAAAAATAGCAAACTTCTTCAAAACTGTTTAAGACCCTATTAAACTTTTGCACCAACAATTAAATAAATATAATACCAATGCAGTAAATTAATTTATAAAATTTTCCCCCAAAAGCAGTAAATCTACATATGATGAAAATTTGTATCTTAAAATTCCCCCATAACTAGCAGTAAATTTCTAAATTCTATGTAGTAAATTAATAAAATGCAATTGCAGTACTAACCTTTTGATATTTTCATTTATTCGCACAAAAATTCTATCCACACTCGCACAGCTCGCCCACGAAGAATTGTTTAAAATAATGAATTTCAGTTTCAAGTTTTCACACTCAACAACTCTAACATATAATAACATGTTTCAAACTTTCCTTTAACCCGGTTGGAAAGGAATCATATACTAAACAAAACTAACCAACGCAGCTTACTAAATACCACAAATCATAGAATAACAGCATGACTAAGAAAAGGAAACCAACGGTACCCAAACCGGATTAACCCAGTTTAAAACTGGATAATTTATTCTTTTGAAGACTATTACAAAGTATTAGAAAGAAATAATAAAACACAAAAAAGTCAAAAGACAAACCCATACCACAAACAATTTGCTTTTTGGAAAAAGTACATAACCAACAAGACATAAGTAAGACCACAACAAACCCAACATAAAACGTTGTCACATAACAGGACCCCTCACAAACACCGCATGAAATCATACTCCCACACCTGGCCTAACCCACCAGGAAAGGACGTCCTGAGCATGCTCTATAGCCGGCCTAACCCACCGTGCTACATCCACGCTTTGTGACCACACCTTTATTTTTAATAAGAGCTACTCAAGGGTGAGTAACTCTTCAAAATAACCGAACTAAAACAAAAAGCTTTTGTGAAAACAACTAACTAAAATCATTATTAAAAAATATTAAACTAATAAAAGTTTTATAAAATGTAAAATCACATGATGCAATATATAGATCAGAATACAACACCAAGGACGAACATCAAAAGACAAGACGACCTCACTACACTCGAGAGAGAATGACCAACTACAATCGATATGCCGCTCACAATCACAACTCAAAGGATTTAGAGTACGACTTGACTTCGCAGAAAAGGACTTCATTGAACTAGACCAATGACCACCTCGATGTTCAAGTATACGTACAGATCCGAGTAACCAGGCATCCCCTCCACGCACAATCTCCACGCCATTCCCAAGCTAGATCAAACACAAAAGAAGTTCTCCACGAAGAACAGAAAAACCTGACATAGCCAACCATTCTGAAATCAGAATTGATTTTGTTGCAAAGACTCAGTCGTTGTCACAAGAAGAAGCGGAAGAAAATTATGATGTTCGCCAAATACCAACGTCCATCATCCACCCTTGAATTACAGAAGAACTGTTCTAAAAAACTCTGTAAAACCCGGATGGGTGGAACCTGATCTAAACTATATTTTATGATTGGATAAATTAAATGTTTTACCAATGTAAAGTATTTAATATTAACCAATCATGATCCATCTAACTAACAACCCACTTATTTGTAAGTGCTGAAGTTACTTGTAATTTCAGCACCAGAGAGATTTGAATTTAACTTAGAAATTAGTTGGACTCTCCCGAGCACTTCAGCAGCCGCAATAAACCAGTATACCCTAGATCTATTGAGCCTAGCAGAGACTAGTTAAACAACCTGAGACTAGATAGTATAAGAGTAAGATTAGGATCGGTATTAGACTAAGAAGTTGCACGAATCTATCCGGCCGAAAATAAGATAGCGTGACGAGCAGACGGTGTACCCTATCCGAAATTACTCTATGAGTTACACTTCGGTCCTAACTCACAATATACGATATAGCTTAAACATGCAAAAATAATACGTTGAAAATGCTTAAACATGACGAGATAGAGAAGCCCTCATTTAAATATATAATAGATTTAAATGAAAAGTCAAATTAATTTAAATTGTTTTTTTAATAGACATCACTGTCTCATTTTGACAACTTAGGGGACGTTGTTTATTTTGAATAATTTCATGCAGTCGGTCCTTCTGTCACGAGAACAGCCTCCTTTGCCGTGGATGGAAGTGCGGTTCATACCTTATTTGCTGCATGGCTTTGAAGTCGATCACAATATTGCACATTTTCGCATCCACCTCTCTGAGTTTCACCACCGCCACCTTCCTTCGCTGTTTCTCCACCAGCCGCGTGATCAGAGGGTCATACGGCTTCCAGATACCTGATAAACTTAAAATAGTAATAAACACGCTACTAGTTTGCTCCCTCAAAAATGCTGTGGTCCCTAATAAAAAGAGAGATGCAGTATATGGGTTAATTCTCACAGTAAGCATCTTCATTTCTCTATGTTGATGACTAAACGTCACTAATTTCTCTAACGGGTACGAATCCCTAGGCGTTGGTTCGAATCCCTAGCTGGCTAGTACCATAAACACTACGGTAGTAGTACAGCATCAAACGGTGGCATAAAATACAGTCGAATATCAACCAGCTAGGCCAGAACTTCTTGAATCTTTGAAGATCGACAATTTTTGATGCTTCCCCCTCAGGAGTTCGACCTTTTGCCGACCCAAAGGGCCTCCCTTTGTACTATTATGAGATATCCATTTTTGGCCGACCGACCCTGAACTTTTTCTTTCCAAGGCGCCTTCGGCGTCAATATATACTGATTTTAAGAACGAGCGCGCGCCAAAAAAAAACGCAATTTTGTCAAAACTTTCTTAAAAGTGCCCTAAAACGCCTTTTTGGCCTGCTTTTTTTTCGAAATATTGCTTGCGGCGTAAAAATAGTTGTCCCAAATAGGGTTTTTATAGTGTTCTGAGACGGCTCGTAAACTCAATTTGGTTGACCTAAAAAAAGTCGACTAAGTTTTGGAAATTCTGCCCCCGCCCTCTAGAACATCCTAGCCCCGCCCCAGAACTGAACCTAAACAAGTGAAAAATCACTTCACTTTTAACTCAACTAAGGAAACAAAGCTAATAATACGTCATTCAGGATTAAAAACTAACCCAAAATCTACTCTACATGACAAAACAATTCAACTCAACCCGAATAAATATTAGTCCAGTGCTAGAAAAATTTCATGTGTGCATATTTATTCAAAAAAATTGGGCGCCAGAGGCCTTGGTTGAATATACTTAAGAGCTCACCGAGCACTACAGCAAGCTGCAATTTTGACTACTGCAATTTTGGCAATCTAAACTCTACTTGAAAAATCAACGGTAACTTTTCGCATAGGAAATCAGAAGTCCAACTGCAACAAATCAAACTTGAGCGTAAAATTGACCGACGATTGATTGAAGCTTTCAATAAAGCTGAGCCAACTACAAAACCTAAACAACTAAAAAAACATAAACAACTGACTAGCCACTTGGTTCATCGGCACTTAACTAACGTACCTTGCTCATTGAGGAACTCCCACACTACGAAATCTCTTCTGTCCTCGCTGCTTCTCGATCCGTAAAACGAGTTGAAACTTTCCGAGCCAAAAGAAGACTCGTCGTCACAATCCGGTTCACCTCCGGCGCACAACTTATATTTGCTCTTTCTCTTCCCAGCAGACGGTGAAGTGGCTGAGGAGCTGCTCTGGCCTGAGTTTGCGGCATCTGCAACTGTAACACCAGGCGCTTGCTTATCCGAAACTTTCTTACTTCTAACCTTGCTAGGGCGAAGTGCCTCGTCTAATGATTGGCTTGTGTGATCTTTAATCGTCAGGGAATCTACGACTGTTTTGGATGTCTGAGGCTCGTCGTTTGTCGGTGAGCTACCTTGTGTTTGAGTGGGCATTTTTGAACTGGACGGACACACTGAATTTCCAGCAGTTGCCTTTGACTCCATTGTTTAAATCACATCAAATAGTTGTCTGAAAAGCGAAAGCTAGAGCTACTAACAATCTCAAATAAACAGCAGCACGGACCTTTTAATATTGCTTTCCACTGAATTTAGTCTGAGTAAAAACGTAGTTCACTTTCCAAAAATATTTCTTAGCTTAATAGATGCATTTAAAAACTGAAATGAAGGTAAGCTCTAAAGCCGTTTCCGCCTTTTCATCCAATTAGCTTATTCTTCCGTTCATTTGCTCCGTAATCAACCAAGCAACAACACAAACATTAGATATAAATTTGCAGATAATTTGAATTATTGAGCAAGTTCAATTTTTAAGCCAACCGGATATATTTCGGTCATTTTTTCTGACATTTAACAGGCAAATGTAAGACATTGCCGGTCACCAGGGTAATTTTACCCAGCAAAATTAGAAACCAACTGAGGATTGATTAAGTTTTCATTAAAGCTTAGCCGAGATGACGCAACCAGAAAAAGACAGTGCTGTAATTTAAGAATACTAGCAAGCCCGTATATAATATTCAATCCCCTCACAAAAAATTAGTTCGTTCTGATCAAGCAATGAATCTTCGAGCAATTTCAAGTTAAGCCATGCCCTAAATCGGTTTGAGAAACTTTAAAATTCATGGAACGAATCGTTTTGCAAGAAGTTGAACCAGCTATTCAGGCTATGAAAATTTATAACATTTAGAGTTACTTCATAGCCCGAATCAGTGTAATAAAAAATTTAAATTTAAGCAAGCTGTTCAAGCAATAAAAATTTGAAATCTATCAAGTTATTTCATCGACTAGTTCGGTTAACGAAAAATTTAAGTTTTTCTAAGCAAGCTACTCAAGCTGTGAATTTTTGAAATATGTCAAGTTATTTTCATCGGTTAGCGAAAAGTAAGTTTTTATAAGCAAGCTTTTACAGCTTTGAAATTTTGAAATAATTCAAGGTAGTTTGAGCAGTGATTCGGGTGGCAAATAGTTAAGTTTTTCTAAGCAAGCTACTCAAGCTGTGAATTTTTGAAATATTTCAAGTTATTTTCATCGGTTAGCGAAAAGTAAGTTTTTATAAGCAAGCTTTTACAGCTTTGAAATTTTGAAACAATTCAAGGTAGTTTGAGCAGTGATTCGGGTGGCAAATAGTTAAGTTTTTCTAAGCAAGCTACTCAAGCTGTGAATTTTTGAAATAATTCAAGTTATTTTCATCGGTTAGCGAAAAGTAAGTTTTTATAAGCAAGCTTTTACAGCTTTGAAATTTTGAAACAATTCAAGGTAGTTTGAGCAGTGATTCGGGTGGCAAATAGTTAAGTTTTTCTAAGCAAGCTACTCAAGCTGTGAATTTTTGAAATATTTCAAGTTATTTTCATCGGTTAGCGAAAAGTAAGTTTTTATAAGCAAGCTTTTACAGCTTTGAAATTTTGAAACAATTCAAGGTAGTTTGAGCAGTGATTCGGGTGGCAAATAGTTAAGTTTTTCTAAGCAAGCTACTCAAGCTGTGAATTTTTGAAATAATTCAAGTTATTTTCATCGGTTAGCGAAAAGTAAGTTTTTATAAGCAAGCTTTTACAGCTTTGAAATTTTGAAACAATTCAAGGTAGTTTGAGCAGTGATTCGGGTGGCAAATAGTTAAGTTTTTCTAAGCAAGCTATTCGAGCTATGAAACTTTGAAATAATTTCATGTTGTTTCATAGAGCGAATCAACTAGCGAAAAATTACAATTTCTTAGTAAGCTTTTCACTCGACGAAACTCAGAAAAAAATTAAATTAGTTAATAGAGCGAACCTATGCAAGCTATTAAACGAAAATTTTGAAACAATTCGACTTATTTCATAGAGCAAAACTGTCCTTAAAAAAAGCTTTTTAAGCCAGCAATTCAATTGTGAAAAGAAAAACGCGGAAAAACAATTGTTTAGGAAGCTATTCAAGCAAGAAAAAATTCAAGGCATTTCATAAAGAGAGACGGATAGCGCATAGTTTAAATTAGAGCCAAATTACGTTTTTCTAAGCGAGCTAATCGAAGGACGAAGCTTTGAAATATGTCAAATTGTTTCATAGAGCCAATCAGCGCGGTTTTCTTAAGCAAGCTATTGAATCTATGAACATTTGAAATACTTCAAACTGTTACTTAGACCAAAATTTTTAGTGAAAAAATTAGTTTTCATCAGTAAAAACTTAAAATAGCTAAACAAGCTATCCAATTTTGAGCGTATGAAAAACGTCAAGGCATTTCATAAAGGGAGACGGATAGCGCATAGTTTAAGTTTACCTATTAGAGCCAAATTACGTTTTTCTAAGCGAGCTAATCGAACGACGAAGCTTTGAAATATGTCAAATTGTTTCATAAAGCCAATCAGTGCGGCTTTCTTAGGCCAGCAATTGAATCTATGAACATTCAAAATACTTCAAGTTGTTACTTAGACCGAAATGTTTAGTGAAAAAATTAGTTTTATCCAGAAAACTTTGAAATATCTAAACAAGCTATTCAAGCTATGAAACTTTGAACTAATTCAGCTAATTTCATGGACCAAATCGGTTATCAAAAAGGAAGTTTCTCTATGGAACCTATTTCAGCTATGAAACTTTGAAATATTTCAAGTTACTTCATAGCGCGAATTAGTGTGCTTAAAAGTTCAAGTTTTTCGAATCAAGCTGTTCAAGCTAGGAAACCATGAAACATTGCAAGTTATTTCATTGAGCGAATCGGTTTGCGAAAGCTTAAGTTGTTTGAGCAAGCTCTTCCAGCTACAAAATTTTGAAAAATTTCAAGTTGATTCATAGCGCGATTCAATTTGCTAAAAATTATGCTTTTATAATTATGGTGTTTGCTGTTTTAAGCTTACGTTTCAGACTGAAATGAATATGTAAACTCAAAATTTTGGACAAAAAGTATGCAGGTCCTGTCTAGCCTTGAAGTTGAATTGATTCCATTTTTCTGAAACTTTCTGATCTTATTTTTCTTAGACGTTGTGCTCAACAGAAAAGTTTTAAAAAACGTTGCATCGGTAGCGCATTAAGACTGTTAATTAATATAAGAATTTTGACCGTTTAGATTTTGTTTACCAGTCATAACGCTAAATTGAAGACTAGTTCTTTTTTCCAAGGCGCTTTTATACAATAGTTTGAAATGGATAGAAAAGTAAGGAAAGCTTATTTGAAATAGATGAAGCGTATTAAAAAACACATTTCCAGAAAGCCAGAAAAAGGCTGCAAACGCAGTATGCCCATTTTGTTAGATAAAGATTAAATAAACATAGCTAACAGACAGTTGAAAAAGAGTCAATGAGCGCAACTAAAGAGACAAAAAAAAACTGAGTTGTTTTTTTTTGAAAAAACTCCACTTTCAAACTTCAAAGAAAAAATAGACGCTTTTAAAGCCCTTTGACTTTCTAGAAAAATCAAAGATTTGATCATAGGTAGATTTTCTAATACACTGAGAAAACTGAAAATTTTCGTGACCTTTACACTTTCGCTGTTCAATAGTGGAGTTTGTGTTCCTTTCACCAAAGGAAATGAACCGAACTTGTAAAGAAATCAAAAGTCAAACCGCGAAAAAATAAATTTGCAAAAAAGCACAAAATACCTATTTCAATGAAAACTATACAAGGAGCTTTTGTAATGATAGAATGAAGCCGACTAATCAAAAAGTTCTTTGAGCGAAACTAAGCCTACAAAAATGAGCAGACCGGCAATAATCTAAATTAAACGAAACGTTTCAGTTTCCGAAAGAAAACAGGTCTTGACTGGAATCAAACTCCCGGACTTTTTGGTCTCAAGCATGGTTGTTACAGAAACTTGGGAAAAAGCCGAATCTGAAAAAAAGTCGGGATATGGGAACTAATCCGACGAAAATAAACAGACGGACGATTTTCAGAAAAATGTTACCGAACCTGAAAACATACTGATTTTCAGAGGGGAGCGCGCGCCGAAAAAAAACGCGCTTTATTGGTCAAAAATTTCCAGTGCCTAAAAACGCTTTTTTGACCTGTTTTTTCAAAATCAATTTGGTCGAGCTAAAAAAAAGGTCGACTAAACTTTCGAACATTTTCGAAATTCCGCTCCCCCACCCCTCGAGAAAATCCTAGATCCGCCCCTGATTACAACTAATGTCGGCCGGAGTTATAACTGGAAATTGGAAAGCATAAAGCCAAATTATGTAAAAATTGTGCATTTCGAAAAAGTTGCGAGATACATTAAGTTGGAAAATTTCTGAAACCAAGCCTTTTATCATTGTACTGCCGTTTGAAACAATTAAGTTTTTTCGGTTCATGTGATGAATTAAAGCGGGATCAACTGAGTTAACTTTTTACCTATCAAATGTTAAAGCCCATATGACATTATACAGCCACCGCAGCCTACCGATTCAAAAGTGCCACCAAAAGTAGCGTTTTTATTTGCGAATTAGGTTGGAAAAAGGAATGTTCGTGCTAATACACTGGCTTCGCAAGTGTAACACAAGGCGAAGCTGCGCTTCGCTAACACTTGCGAGAACACGACCAAAAAGCAGCTCTATCAAGTGAAAAAAGAAAAAGTAGAAAAAGCCTCGAATTAGTAAAAACTCGGCTTTGTGTAGAATCTGCGACCATGCAACGTTTAGTCTCACGCATAACCACTTAACCAGGGATGCTTGAATTCCCCAAAAACTAGCCATTAATTCTCAATCTACATTAGCTACTAAATTGCAAATTCGATGAAAATTTTCGTGACCTTTACACTTTCGCTGTTCAATAGTGGAGTTTGCGTTCCTTTCACCAAAGGAAATGAACCGAACTTGTAAAGAAATCAAAAGTCAAACCGCGAAAAAATAAATTTGCAAAAAAAGCACAAAATACCTATTTCAATGAAAACTATACAAGGAGCTTTTGTAATGATAGAATGAAGCCGACTAATCAAAAAGTTCTTTGAGCGAAACTAAGCCTACAAAAATGAGCAGACCGGCAATAATCTAAATTAAACGAAACGTTTCAGTTTCCGAAAGAAAACAGGTCTTGACTGGAATCAAACTCCCGGACTTTTTGGTCTCAAGCATGGTTGTTACAGAAACTTGGGAAAAAGCCGAATCTGAAAAAAAGTCGGGATATGGGAACT